TATTGAAGTATCTAAACACCACTATTGATGGTAGTGGAATGGAGAGCTCATGAACGTAATTACAATAATAATAATAATAATTAAGAAGAAGAAGAAGAAGAAGATTTTATTTATATACTGCTCTATCTCCTCAAAGGGACAGGCGCATTAATAGGATAGCATGCCATTTGTAGTCCTGAAACAAATCTTAAAAAATAACTCAAAACACCTTTTATTTGAAAACCTGTGAATTTTCATGTAAAATGAACAATCTCAAAAGAAGACTGATTGGCAATAAATCAGCACTAATTTTATGTTCATGGTAAGTGTGGTGTATCGAGTTTACTCTTTAATATTTTCCTACAATTCGGCCATTAAGATCCAAATAGAATAATTATATTTAGAACAAAAAAGTTCAAAATAAATAAATCTTTATATTTAAACTGTGTTAGAACATTAGAGATGTATTGCATAGCAGCATTGTCCATAATGAATAGGAATAGGGGTGATTTGAATGCAATATTCCTGCTTCTTGGCAGGGGGTTGGACTGGATGGCCCATGAGGTCTCTTCCAACTCTTCAATTCTATGATTCTATGAATATGGCACAGAAATAATTTCTCTGGGCTCAGTGCAAAACTTTAACACACACACCATCCCCCCAAAAGTATATCTGCCCTGAAAAATTGGTGGTTTGATTGGAATTCATTTGCTTTTTTGTTATGTTTAAATCACTTGTCATTCTATTTATTAGTTTTACAGCTATAGTAAGATATTACCTGATGATATGTTAATTAAGCGCAGACAACAAAATGTCCTGCCCCAGGGATCACTTTTTTCTGCACACTGGAGACCAGAAGCCTGATTCATTAAGTATATGCATTAGTCTCTTACTGGTCTTCATATGTGGTCTGTCTTACCAAAAAAGTGTCTTATTAATCATACTTTCCTTTTTCCATCATAGTAGGAAAATCATAGCTACCATGCTGTGAGATTGGTTATTCTAACTTGCCCTGAAGCTGGTAACCATAGTATTCTGATTCAGACAGAGCAGGATGTAATTATTAATTGACCGTTTCCTGATTTAATTGCTAATTGCACTAAAGAGGAATGAAGGGGCCGTATGTATGAAGAAAGATCTCATGCAAATCTCCCATATGTTCTGAGTTTATAAAAACACAAGTATGCCTTTGATTATACTATGTAACAAAATTTGAAAAAAAATCTGCTTCTGGTTTGAAAATGTTATTCCTGTTTAATTGTTCAGTACTTTGTAATTATTTGTTATACCCCAGAAACTTTGTTTTTTGGGTGCCACAAACTGTGTTGAATGCTTGAGACTCCTTGAGGTGTTCATTGAAAAACTATAGCAAAATGTGCTGCAGGACGTTCTTTGTCAATTTTTTTATTTATTTTTGTGAGATGTATTTACTGTATATACTCAAGTATAAGCCTAGTTTTTCAGCTCCTTTTTTAGGCTGAAAACGCTGTAATAAAAATAATAGTAATAGCAGAGTAAAATAATAAATAACTGACTCGAGTATAAGCCTAGTTTATCAGCCCCCTTTTTAGGCTGAAAAAGCTGCCCTCGGCTTATACTCGAGCCAAAGTTATTTATTATTTTACTCTGCTATTACTATTATTTTTATTACATTTATTATTTTACTCTATTATTGGTATTATTACATTTGCATTATTTTACTCTATTATTATTTTATTTCATTTATTTTACTCTATTTATTATTATAATTATTACATTTATTATTTTACTCTATTATTGGCATTATTACATTTGCATTATTTTACTCTATTATTATTTTATTACATTTATTTTACTCTATTATTATTATTACATTTATTTACTTCATTATTGTTGTTAGTACATTTATTATTTTACTTTCTTTCTTATTATTGGAAGGATACGTAAGCACATTGACACTGAAAAAGGTTAGAATAATGGTTTAATCAAAGTTGGTCAGTCTTATTTTAAATTAAAGTTTTATGTAAACATTGAAAAACATTTAACCTACTGTTTCCTCAATTAATGTAATTTTATTGGTATCTATATTTATTTTGTATTACCAGTAGCTGCTGCATTTTTCCACCCTCGACTTATATTCGAGTCAATAAGTTTTCCCATTTTAGGTGCCTTGGTTTATATTCGGGTCGGCTTATACTCAAGTATATACGGTATTCATAGGCTCGGAAGTTCCAACTGGTCCAACGATCAGCAGCCAGGATGCTAACTGGGGCCCCTTACAGAGAGAGGTCAACCCTCCTGTTCAAGGAGCTCCACTGGCTGCCGTTTATATTCCGATCCTAATTTAAGGTGCAGGTGCTTACCTACAAAGCCCTGAACGGTTTGTGACCAGCCTACCTGCGTGACCGCATTTCCATCTACGAACCCACATGTTCACTTCGGTCATCTGGGGAGGCCCTGCTTGTGATCCCACCTACGTCACAAGCACGCTTGGTGGGGACGCGGGACAGGGCCTTTTCCGTGGTGGCCCCCCGTCTCTGGAACACCCTCCCCAAAGAACTTAGACAGGCCCCTACATTGGCAGTCTTCAGAAAGAACCTGAAGACCTGGCTTTTCCAATGCGCCTTCCCAGATTAGGAAATCTCCACTACCAAGTCCCATAAGCACTTTACCAGAACCAATGATTGCTGCACATCGCACTTGCCCTAGAAGCCTCATATACACCTCCTGTCACATCAGCACTTTTAATTCTTGTACCCATTACTCTGGCCTGGCCCAGTTTTATTGTGTTCTAGTGTATTGTTTTGCCTGTTGTTCATTTTGCTTTATTCTGTTTTTAACTGTTTGATTTGCTTAGATTGTATTGTTATGTTGTGTTTGAGGCCTCGGCCTGTGTAAGCTGCATCGAATCCTTTGGTAGATGCTAGCGGGGTACAAATAAAGTTTTTTAATTATAATAACAATAATAATAATAGTCTGAATTATTATGTTTTTTCCAATTAAATGATAATTTGTTGCCAGAACAAAATTTATGAATTATTTTAAAGCTTTTGATTTTAATTCAGCAGTGAACAGAAATGTTATGTTGAAATTGTTTATTGCATTCAGTAACTTCACCAGTTTTGCTAACTTGTCCTTTATCAAAAATTCTTACATATTCATGTTTTTACAAGAATTCTGGCATTCCAGATTGTTAGATGTTATTGCCTACCTTATTGTGGGTCTTAAAAATTTGGAATGTTGTAAAAGTGAACAAGTTGCCTTAAAGTAAACAACCTTTATTTCATGTTAGTTTCGTGTGAAAGTTAGATTAAATCAGGCAGAAATATGTTCAGCCAAAAATATTAATGCAATTTACAGAGTTTAGATCTCCTGGAATACATCTTGTAACACAAAGTGAACAAAAACGCTATATAACAAAGGTGATACTTGTGCTCTGTAATTCCTTGCAGAAATGTTCTGTGGCTGCTCATGAACACAAAACCCCCCACAATGAACAGCTTAGTATGGATTGGAAAGTATATGCTTTCAAACAGTAATGCTGACAAGTTGTAAAATCATTTCTGACTGCCAATATTACGTCTGCGAAGAACCGTCCGGCGGAGCTGTTTCGAGTTGTCAGAGGCCTATTAAATCCCACCCCTCAGGATAGGAGCCCTGACAACTCGGCAGCCCGCTGTGAAGCATTTGCTCGGTTCTTAGCAGACAAAGTTGCTTTGATCCATTCTGGCCTGGACACCATGTTAACGGCAATCTCTTTGGATGTAACTGGAGCACCTGCTTGTCCGATTTTGATGGATTCATGTCAATTGGTGAAACCTGAGGATGTGGACAAGATACTTGGAGGAATGAGGGCGACCACATGCATCCTAGAACCCGGCCATCCTGGCTTTTGAAGGAAGCCAGAGGGGGATTGGCCGAGTGGGTAACGGTGGTGGTTAATGCCTCCCTTCGGGAAGGCAAGTTTCCAGCGAGCTTAAAACAAGCTGTGATAAAACCACTGTTGAAAAAACCATCACTGGACCCCCACTCAATTGGACAACTATTGGCCTGTTTCCAATCTCCCCTTTTTGGGCAAAGTCCTGGAACGTGTGGTGGCTTCTCAACTCCAGATATTCTTGGAAGACACGGATTATCTGGACCCGGCACAGTCTGGTTTTAGGCCGGGACATGGTACTGAGTCAGCCTTGGTCGCCTTAGTGGATGATCTGTGACGGGAACTAGACAGGGGGAGTGTGTCCCTGTTGGTTCTGCTGGACCTCTCAGCGGCCTTTGATACCATCTACCATGGTATCCTTTTGGGACGCCTCGCAGGAATGGGCCTTGGAGGTACTGTTCTGCAGTGGCTCCGGTCCTTCCTAGAGGGTCATTCCTAGAAGGTGTTGTTGGGAGATTCCTGCTTGACCTCACAACCATTGTCTTGTGGGGCCCCGCAGGGGTCAATACTATCTCCCATGTTATTTAACATCTACATGAAGCCGTTGGGAGAGATCCGGAGTTTCGGGGTGCTGTGTCACCTGTATGCAGATAACATCCAACTCTGTCACTCCTTTCCACCTGTTACTAGGGAGGCTGTCCAGGTCCTGACCTGTGCTTGGCCGCTGTGACAGTCTGGATGAGGGCGAACAAATTGAAATTGAATCCAGACAAGACAGAGGTCCTCCTGGTCAGTTGAAAGGCCGAACAGGGGATAGGGTTACAACCTGTGTTGGATGGGGTTACACTCCCCCTGAAGATGCAGGTTCGCAGTTTATATTTGACAACGTGACTGGATAATAACTGGTAATGAAATGTGGAGGACTTATGGGTTTTATTGTGTTACTGATGTTAATTGTAATGAATTTTTACCTGTGTTAAATGTTTTTAATGTTTAAATTATTTTTGTACTGTTGTTGGCATCGAATTGTGCCGTTTTATAAACCACCATGAGTCGCCCTCGGGCTGAGAATGGCAGTATAGAAGCATAGTAAATAAAATAAATAAATAAATAAAAACATTCATTGTTTTTGATACTACTTTCTTGTCCCTGCTTTAAATTTTAGGATCTGCTGTTTGGCAACTGATAGCATCTTTCTTGAAACTCCCAATATCCGGAACACATTGCATTGTAGGTGCTACCATTGGATTCTCATTAGTTGCAATTGGTACGAAAGGAGTCCAGTGGATGGAACTTGTCAAGATTGGTAATTGACATTTCCTAGTTGTTTTTGGTAAGGGTTTGTGCATAATCATGCATTGACTAAAAAAGAGTTGTAGAAATAGCATCTTATAATTTTACTATACTTTTGTTTTAGTGTTCTAGAGTATTTTGTTAATTATATACAGCTACTTGAAGCTGATAGAATTAATTGAAATTAGGCTGTGCGAATTCACACTGCACTCAACAGAATTATTTAAGTTTAACAGAAATATGGGCCAGGAATACTTTTTAAAGGCTGCAGGTAGACTGTTTCTAACTTCCTGGTTTACCTGTGGCCTTAAAAAAGAACCTACATTTTTAACATGGCTATTAAATTAATCCAATGTCCTCATGGATAAGAAATCCAACATTGAATTGGATGTGTGTGTGTGTTTTTTAAAAATCAACATTTTGCTGATGTGGCCTCCCTTCTTTCAAAATACTATGTTGTGGTTCAGCGTATGCTGATTTTGTCCAATTAAAATCAATCATTTCTGTAGAAGTGTGTACTTATCACACTCATTAAAATCAATGGGGGATAAACATTCTTATAATCTGCTAGGTCATGCCAATCGTTTTTTTAAAAAAATAAACCACATTTCTGTGATAGCTAGGATTAAGATACCATAAATGTGCATTGTCCAAAGATTAGAGAGTTTGTTGTTGTTGTAGCTTATTGAATAATTATGTCTATATTTGTTTTTATTCAGTTGCTTCTTGGTTTATCTCCCCTCTTTTATCTGGGATGATGTCTGGTGTGCTGTTTGTGCTTATTCGATTCTGCATCTTAAATAAGGTTAGTGACTAAGTTTGTCCTCTCTGTTCTAAATGTTGCTAGTAAGACTAAAATATGTGACAAATGCACTTTCTTATCATGTAGCTTCAGCAACTCCACAGAGAGTCAATAAGTGTTTCAGAAACAACCTTCTGTTTTTTGACATTTTTAGGGATGAACATAGTCCCCAAGCATTTGTAATCTGCAAGAGATGTATGTACTTTTAACTGATCTGAAAAATTATTGAAGAATGTCTAAATTGTCTAAGTTAAACTCGCATAATGTTCTAAATTATGCCTTCCAGACGTTGTTAGTTTACAAATGTTGGCAATTTTTACCATTCGGTAAGTTGAGTAGGTCTACTTGACCATGCAATCCAATGACATATGTACAACTGCATGATTGCCATCAAAATGCAAGATTTTTACCTCTATAGAGGTCTATTGCCACCTAATTTTAAAGTGTGAAATGTGCTAGTAGCAGTCTGCAAAGCATTGTCGAAGGCTTTCATGGCCGGAATCACTGGGTTGTTGTAGGTTTTTTCAGGCTGTATGGCCATGGTCTAGAGGCATTCTCTCCTGACGTTTCGCCTGCATCAATGGCAAGCATCCTCAGAGGTAGCGAGGTGTGTTGGAAGTAGGAAAAAGGGTTTATATATTTGTGGAATGACCAGGGTGAGACAAAGGACACATCTGCTGGAGCTAGGTGTGAATGTTTCAACTGACCACCTTGATTAGCATACAATGGGCTAACTGTGCTTGGAGCAAACTTTTATTGAGAGGTAATTAGATGCCCCTGCCTGCTTCCTCTCTGTTGTTGTGCTGTTGCAATTTTACAGTTTTTTAATACTGGTAGCCAGATTCAACCAGAGAAATCAGCCATAGCAGAGCACCTGATGAACCAACCTGGACACAGCATTTTATTTGAGAACACAGAAATGCTGGACCACTCTCACAACCACCATGTCAGACTACACAGAGAAGCCACTGAAATACACAAGCATGTGGACAATTTCAACAGAAAGGAGGAAACCATGAAAATGAACAAAATCTGGCTACCAGTATTAAAAAACTGTAAAATTGCAACAGCACAAAACAGAGAGGAAGCAGGCAGGGACATCTAATTACCTCCCAACAAAAGTTTGTTCCAGGCACAGTCAGCCCATTGTATGCTAATCAAGGTGGTCAGTTGAAACATTCACACCTAGCTCCAGCAGATAAGAGTCCTTTGTCTCACCCTGGTCATTCCACAGATATATAAACCTCTTTTCCTACTTCCAACACACCTCACTACCTCTGAGGATGCTTGCCATAGATGCAGGTGAAACGTCAGGAGAGAATGCCTCTAGACCATGGCCATACAGCCCGAAAAAACCTACAACAACCCAGTCTGCAAAGTATTTAAAAGCCAAGTCTTAACCCAATAGTTAGACCACACCTGAAATATTGTGTCCAATTCTGGGCACCACAATTGAAGAGAGGTATTGACAAGCTGGAATGTATCCAGAAGAGGGTGACTAAAATGATCAAGGGTCTGGAGAACAAGCCCTATGAGGAGCGGCTTAAAGAGCTGGGCATGTTTAGCCTGCAGAAGAGAAGGCTGAGAGGAGACATTATGGACATGTATAAATATGTGAGAGGAAGTCAAAGAGAGGAGCAAGCTTGTTTTCTGCTGCCCTGGAGACTAGCACGTGGAACAATGGCTTCAAACTACAAGAAAGGAGATTCCATCTGAACATTAGGAAGAACTTCCTAACTGTGAGAGCTGTTCAGCAGTACAGGCTAGATGGCCATCTGTCGAGGGTGCTCGGAACGTGATTTTCCTGCTTCTTGGCAGGGGGTTGGACTGGATGGCCCACAAGGTCTCTTCCAACTCTGCCTTGGGGTGTGGTGGAGACTCCTTGTTTTGAGGGTTTAAACAGAGGCTAGATAGTCATCTGTTGAGGGTGTTTTGAAGGTGATTTTCCTACTTCTTGGCAGTGCATTGGACTGGATGGCCCACAAGGTCTCTTCCAACTCTGCCTTGAGGTGTGGTGGAGACTCCTTGTTTTGAGGGTTTAAATAGAGGCTTGATAGTCATCTGTTGAGGGTGCTTTGAAGGTGATTTTCCTATCCAGAAGAAATTAATCCTTTCCCCGTTATTTCTTGATTTTTAAGCTTACTTAGCCATTCCTCATATTTATTCAGTGCTCTACATCTGGGATTTTTACTTAACCAGTCCTTTTTTAAATTATACAGCTGTTACCTCTCAAACCAATTCAAGGCACCTTGTTCTTCTAACTTATTAAACTTGCCCATTGAGTTTTGTATACATTCCTTCCAGGAAAGAGTAGTTTCCCCCTCCACTAATTTTTTATGTTTAAGTTTAATTCTCAGGTCTTCTGGAAAATTTTCCAGTAAAACTACTGGGGTTAGGGGGGAAACTCTTGGAAATATCTTATTTTTAACTTAACCCATGTCTCCATAACATCTTTAGCCAGGTTATTTTTACACTCCTTAATTTCTTTGCCTATTTTTGACCTAAAAAACATTTCCCCATAATCTTTATGCCAGCATTTTCCTTCCACTTCCCGCCAGATTAATTTAAGTTCCGAAAGCAGCCTAAACACTCCCATTATTACATGTGTCTGATGGTAGGTTTTTAGTTCTGGTATTCCTAGTCCCCCTAATTTCTGAGAAATATACCATAGGCCTCTCGGTAGCCTAGATCTTCTAGTTCCATTACAAAATTCATTGACTAATTTCTGCCATTTTTTAAGATCAACCTTTGGAAGTTTAATAACAGTGATGCTTGTTATTGGGGGTATATATACTTTGTTTTATTAAAAAAACCGCTTTGTTTACTTTTAAAATAATTTTGTACTCTTATTGTTTTTAAATTTTATTTTTGGATTTTAATGTATTCCTTTTGTGAGTCCCACTTGAATCCCATTCAAGAGGAAGAATGGCTCTAAAATAAATAAACAAAACTATTGTGTCAGGGTTCAGTTCCACAGAGTGTAATGTTTTCATGTACACAGATATTTGCATACACCAAGTGTATCTCTGCAGTTTAAAAGTCTACTTTCCAAATAGCATTTGCAATTAGAACCAGTACTCTCTCTTTATGCATTGTTTATCTAAAAATAATAATTTTGGATGCTTGTCTCATTATTGCATTCATTTGATATTATATATACTCCAGTGACAACAGCTAAACAGAGACCAAATTGTGAATATATTTATGCCATTTGCTTAATAAATAGGTAAAACGTATGTATGATTCACTTCTTCTGTCATATCATAAAGAAAAATGAAAATAAGGCCTTTCAGGGACACCCGCCAATGTTAAGGTTTCAGTACCCTGCATTTAAGGACATCAGCATTCAAGTGGTAAATCCAGTGGTTCTAATTATGGAGTTTATAAGCATTCTGAATTTGCCTGAGAGCCAATGGCATTTTAAAATCGGAGAGAGCGATGTCTAAACAGAGTTTGACAGTAGGGTGCATGTCTGTTTCTCTGTTAGGCTAAATCTCTTCCCTGAAGCAAATGTTTCAGGAAGGGCTTGGAAAAAGATTTTTGTCCTCGCGTATTGTGAGCTACAATATCTGATTCCCTTTTTAAACACTCCACAAAGTTACAGCAATAAAAAAGCAACCAGGAATTTGGAATAATTCTCAAGCTTAGTTTAAGTACAGTGCTTTATGTTACAGCTTGTAGTTGTATGTCATATTGGGTGGCTGTGTTTGTTCTTTCTATTGAGTAAGGCCCCTTCTACATTACCAAATAAATGTGGGTTATCTGTTTTATTTATTTACTGTATTTACGTACCGCTTTTCTCACCCCTGGGGGGAGTCAAAGCGGTTTATACAAAAATAACTGCAAAATTCAGTGATTTGCATACATAAACCAAAATTCAATCAACAACATGTAACTCGCATAAAATCAATAGGACAATTCACTATACAAAATACCATTTAAAACATGAAATAAAAGAATTAAAACACCTAATAAAAGCACAAAAAACATATTATCCAACTCTTAGACTGAGCCATTCCAAATCTCAATTGCACATATTCCATAGTTGCTTCTTGTACTACATTATGAGTCAAAAGCTTGGTTCCATAACCACGTCTTTGTTCTTTTTCTAAAGGCCAGGAGGGAGGCCAGTATATGGCAGTGTAGGCTCAGATAATTCAGTTCAAAGCAGATAATGTGGATTTTACATATTCAATTCTTGCTACTGTTGCCATATAGAAAAAGATTATTTCTTGGTGTTTTGGTATTTACTTACCTAATAATCCTACGAGTCGTAGTGGCACAGTGGGTTAAACCCTTGTGCTGGTTGAACTGCTGACCTGAAAGACAGTGGTAGAAATCCACGAGGCGGGATGAGCTCCCATCTGTCAGCTCCAGCTTCCCATACGGGGACATGAGAGAAACCTCCCACAGGATGATAAAACATCCAAGCGTCCCCTAGGCAACATCCTTACAGACGGCCAATTCTCTCACACGAGAGGCGACTTGCAGTTTCTGAAGTCGCTTCTGACATGATAAAAAAATCTAATAATCCTAATAAAAAGTTTCTGGTTTCAGTGTTATTTTGTTGTTTTTTTAATATAGTTTCAATTTCATTATGAATTTTTATCTAGAAATCTTTAATTTTTCGTCAGGTCCGCCACATGTGATAAAAAGTTCCTTTCTTCTGTTTATATTTCCAACATAAATTCGAACTTTCAAATATCTTTGTGAGTTTTTCTGGGGTTATGTACCATCTATACATCATTTGTAAAAGTTCTGTTTTATGATATAACTTCTTGTAAATGGTAGTTGTTTCTTCCAGAGTTGTCCCCATTCTTCTAGATTTATTGCTCGTCCTATATTTTTGCCCAAAGAATCATGGGCTCCTTTACTTGTTTATCAATTGTATACTCTTTCAAAATGAATTGATATATTTTCCCATATTATGATCAGATCATAATATGAATAAACATAACAGTTTAAATAATGTACCAGTAAGACCTTCTTGTGGACCACCCTGAGAATTTTGGAAGGGGGGGGGCTGAAGCCCCTCAAGCTGGCATTAGAACTGAAGTGAAAGGTTTCCTTGTGCCCATTCACTATAATGAAAGTGGAAAATATACCAAGATGTATTTCATTATCTGCTGGGCTCGTAAGTGCTCTTCATATGATCTTGATGGCAAGATTTTTCCTTCTCTATAGCAAGAATTTTTCTATGTAAAGTGTAAGAGATTGAATATGAAATTTCAAAAAATATTTTTGTAATTATTTGGATTGAAATGAGGTGAATCATGTAGGGAATGCTAGGATAGTTTGGGCACAATTTAAAAAACTGTATCTTCTTTGACCTTTCCCTCATTGCAGAAATAGTTGCATATGGAATAGCAAATACAGACTTCCGTTTTGCTATTAAAAGTGATGTGTTTGGCAGTCTGCCTCTTGGCCTGATCAAAAGACTAACTTGGGCATGAGATAGGGAAGGAAAGAACTAGCCCATCTCCTGATGGTTCTTTCATCCCCTGCCAGTTATTTCTGGGAAGAGAGTTTCACACTTGGAGAACTTGTCCTTATACATTGGTTCCTAATATTTAGGGAATCACAGATCCTTTGAGAGTCTAATAAAAGCTATACCCTTTCTAGAAAATGCACTTGATCACAGTTATCAAAATACGAGGGGTATTTTTTAAGTAAGGTCCGTTTGAACATAAGTACACAACGAAAGTTTATTTCAAAAAAGTAAATTTATTTTCAGAAAGTACATACTTCACTCTATTTTTCGACATAGTTGCCAAGTTTGTTCAAACATTTATCATACCTCTGAACCAATTTTAAAATACTCTCTTCATAAAAACTTGCCGCCACCAAAAGCCACCAAATCGTCTGTAATCAAAGAAGGGCGACCGGAGCGGTCCTCATCATGGATGTTGTCACAGCCATCATTGAATTGTCGTACCCACTTACGCACTTTGCTTTCACTCATAACAGTATCACCGTACACTTCACAAATCTGTCGATGAATTTCTGCAGCAGGCAGGTTCCTTGCTGACAAAAACCGTATCACTGAGTGAACCTCACATGTGGAGGGTGAGTTGATAGTCTTAAACGTTTTTAAAGCACAGAACAGAACCGTACAGGTTAGCTACAGAGCGGAAACTGAGCACAGTTGTTCCCGAGGCATGTCGGTACACGAAGCACGCGCTCGTTGCGGTATGCGCTCGAACTACTAGTGTCTACAACAAAACGGACCTTACTTAAAAAATACTCCTCGTAGAAGGAAGGATATTGAATTTAAAAGTTTCTCTTCTCACATCCAGCTCATGGAGCCTGAGAGGTGCATTTATAGGCACCAGGTTAAGAATGTCTACTCTCTTGTCCTGTGTCTTATATCTGAGCATTCCTTAGGCTGTGTGGCTGAACTAATAAAAAGATGTGGATGTCCTATGGCCTAGAAAACAAGGCAGTTTGCTTTTGAAGAATGCCTCCCGGACTGTGAGATTCTGCTAATCTTAGCAAAATGAGGCTGAATTCTCATGAGTTAGTGCAAAGGTGGAATTGAAACATCTTCAGATATCATTGGGTTGCAACTGTCAACATCCCCATCGCTTGATATACACTGTTAGGACTCAGAGTTGTAGGGCCTCTTTATTCTCATCATGGAAATATGTTTGTGTTTGTGATCTATGGGCTAGGAAACAAGACAATTCGTTTTGGGAGAATTCAATCTGACATTCAGATTCTGCCCATCTGCCCTTAAAGTGAGATTTAATTCCCAAGGGGGTGGAAATGAAGCAGTTGTTCAGATATCAGTGAGCTACAACTCTCAACACCCTTGACTGTTGACTATGCTCTTTGGGATACTGAGAATTATAGGGCCATTTTATTTCCATCATGGGAACATGCTTGTGTTTGTTTCAGATACGTCAGAATAGGACCTTCATCTAAGGCAGTGTTTCTCAACCTTCCTGATGCCATGACCCCTTAATACAGTTCCTCATGTTGTGGTGACCCCCAAACAGAAAATTATTAATATGCAGGATGTATTTTCATTCACTGGACCAAATTTGGGATAGATTTTGTCATTTGGGAGTTGTAGTTGTTGGGATTTATAGTTCACCTACAATCAAAGAGCATTCTGAACCCCACCAGCGATAGAATTGGGCAAACTTCCCACATAGAACCCCCATGACCAAGGGAAAATACTGGAAGGGTTTGGTGGGCATTGACCTTGAGTTTTGGAGTTGTAGTTCACCTCCATCCAGAGAGCACTCTGGACTCAAACAATGATTGGTCTGGACCAAACTTGGGCACAAATACTCAATATGCCCAAATGTGAACACTGGTGGAGTTTGGGGAAAGTTGAACTTGATATTTGGGAGTTATAGTTGCGGGGATTTATAGTTCACCTACAATCAAAGAGCATTCTGAATCCCACCAATCATAGAATTGGGCCAAACTTCCCACACAGAATTCCATGAACAACAGAAAATACTGTGTTTTGAAGGTCTTTGGGGACCCCTCTGACACCCCCTCACAACCCCCACAGGGGTCCCGACCCCCAGGTTGAGAAACGCTGATCTAAGGAAATAGTCATACAATTCTTATTGGATTATGCTGATTTTTTAATTGTGACAGAATTTGAATATGTCATTTTTTTTATGCAGGAGGACCCTGTACCCAATGGTCTCCGTGCCCTTCCAGTGTTCTATGCTGCTACAATAACAATTAATGTATTCTCTATAATGTATACAGGTGCCCCAGGTGAGTATTACCTCTCATATGAGGTCTACCATGAAAGCACTATTACGAATCTTGAAAACTCACATTCTATAATGGATGGGTTAGATCCAGGATCTGCATTCTGCGGATCGAAGGGCTCTCCTCATGATAGGTTCTTCAACTTTGGTTCAAGAATAACCCCCTCTCCTTGGCCCATAGCTTCTGTAAAGTCCCTTCCAATGCTCTGTGTGGCTTTTTCTGGATGCTGGAGTGGCTGCACAGGTAAGAAGGGGTATGGGAAGTGTGCTCCCACCAACCCAATTACAGCCACCTAAATCTGGATCTAACCTAATAATGGTTACAACAAAAAAGATGTTCTATAAATAAGCTTTAGCTCATTTTTCCTTCTGTAAAAAAGTCATATCTCTAGGCAGTGAGTTCTTGAAATGTCTGACAAACTCGTGTGTGTTCTCCTTAGCTATCATGGTTCTCTTGGGCCATGTCACATGTTACGTGGAAACAAACCCAGAATTGCCACCAGATGTACACTGAGCATGTATTTGCTTTTGCTCACAACTCAGCAAGTGTTAATATGTACTGTATGTGTTCCCAAATGTGTGTTTATCATATTTGCGCTTCATCTTTGAAATGTCAGCGGCCAATATTATTCTTGATATTTTTTTCTGCCTAAGGGGGAATCTTTATGCAGTTCGAAATAAGCATATTCACAACCTGAAATACTTCTTTTTGTTTTGTTGAATGCATAAGAGAGCACCACCTGCATTATGTTAAACTTGTAAACTGACACAAATGAACATTGTATTAATTATACAGCTCACATTGCATCTGATGGCATTCAGTAGTGGGAAATCATCTCGTGATCCACAGGTGGTGGAGACACAGTGTTCTGCCTATGTTTATAATAGCACCAGCATGTTGTGCAGAGTGGTGGTTTTTTTTATCCAGAAATTGCAGAGCAAATTTCCTGATTTAAGGATTTTGTGGTTTTATTTGTCAGTGTTCCTCATCCTCTTGTGTTCCTTTCATCCTCAATCCCCCTTCAGTTCAGGGCAAGAGCATATTGCAATAAATAGTAGCAAATTCACATTCAATTATATAATTTTATTTTCTCCCTTTTTCAGTCCTAGGAATCACTCTTCCTGTGTGGGCAATAGCACTGATATCAATTGGTGTATCACTAGTAATTGCTACCTTAGTCTGGATATTTGTGTGTCCGTGGATGAAAAGAAAAATAGCAAGTATGTCTCTTGAGGGGCGGGAAGGTGTGAGAGGGTAAAACACATTCAAAATCTGTTGGGTGGATTTCCATTGCAGTAATTCTTTCTCTGTATACCAGTGGTTTCTTTGCCTTCTGCTGTAAACGTTTGGGTTTAGTCGCTTGTGCTGCTGCTCTTAGCTAAAGTGCTTGTTTATTTATATAAAACAAAGGTGAGGGAAGGGCAACCAGCAGGGGCCCATCCCTTTTTTTGCAGGCTGCAAGCAGAATTAATTTGAGCATTTTGGCACCCATAAGGAAAACAATTAAAATTCAGGTTCAAAAACACCCCAGAAAACATATTTTAGAGGCTTTTCAAGAATGGCCGGTTTGTTTAAACGTCATTCTCAATGTCAGGAATACCAGAAATAAGATGGTATTTAAAAACTACTTTTAAAAAGCATATTCTGTATACCACTAACTTAAAAAACAAAACAAAACAAACCTAGAATCCTCAGTGCTTAAAACATAATGCATGTTAAGCCACCTATCCTCACCACCTCTGAGGATGCTTGCCATAGATGCAGGCGAAACGTCAGGAGAAATGCCTCTAGAACATGGCCCTATAGCCGACAAGCCCCACAAGAACCTCATAATGCATGTGTTTGTTATATGAACTCTAGCATATATGAGGGGTATTTTTTAAGTAAGGTCCGTTTGAACATAAGTACACAACGAAAATTTATTTCAAAAAAGTAAATTTATTTTCAGAAAGTACATACTTCACTCTATTTTTGACATAGTTGCCAAGTTTGTTCAAACACTTATCATACCTCTGAACCAATTTTAAAATACCCTCTTCATAAAAACTTGCCGCCTGCTCCGATAACCAAGAGTTCACTGTAATCAAAGAAGGGCGACTGGAGCAGTCCTCATCATGGACGTTGTCACGGCCATCTTTGAATTGTCGTACCCACTTACGCACTTTGCTTTCACTCATAACAGTATCACCGTACACTTCACAAATCTGTCAGTGAATTTCTGCAGCAGGCAGGTTCCTTGCTGACAAAAACCGTATCACTGAGCGAACCTCACATGCGGAGGGTGAGTTGATAGTCTTAAACATTTTTAAAGCACAGAACAGAACCGTACAGGTTAGCTACAGAGCGGAAACTGAGCACAGTTGTTCCCGAGGCATGCCGGTATACGACGCACCCGCTCGTTGCGGTATGTGCGCGAACTACTAGTGTCTACAACAAAACGGACCTTACTTAAAAATACCCCTCATAATACCAAAACATCCTAAAAACACTAGATCCTGTCTGTTTAAGTTAAGCAGGGTAAGCATTCATTACTACTTGGATGGGAAATATATATATAATATTTAAGCTGCCCTGCATTTGAGAAAAATCAACTCAGAAAAATATAGTGACTTAAGTTAGAAAGTTGAGTCAGTGGAAACCATTTTTTTCCTATTTTCTTGATTGTTATTTGGAAAAGCAAGGGCAGAATACCAATCTGGACAGTTTGTTTATTGAATTGACACCAGTAATTGCTGCAAATGGCTGTTGTTTAGATTGCAAGATATCTTCCATGGTTCATAAGTTTGGATTTTCCTTAGGTCGATTAAAGAAAGAAGGTGCATTATCAAAAATATCTGACGAAAGCCTTGATAAAATTCAAGATGAAGATCTTCCTGTGTTTAAAGAACTCCCTGGTGCCAAAGCAACAGATGAAAGTACTATTCCTCTCACTGGTTCTGGAACTGAAGAAGCAGGTGTATCTGATAGTATAGCAAATGGTAGCCATCCACGTGTACCATATGGTAAGAAACCAAGAGCACCTAGTCATCGGTCCCCCCCCCCCCCCAAACTTTTTTCTTGCTTTCATTGTATGCTTGTTTCCGGTGGCTCTTTTCATGGGTGTAAGTGATACAAGACTGCAGATAGTTATCTCCTTCCACTGCTATGGAATTATTAAGGGAATGCAAAGGAATGTGTGCATTTTCTTCATGCTCTTTTCCAGAGTTTTCAGACATAGGCTTGTCCTCACTTCATTTTTGAAAGAACGTGCTATACATATATATTACACCATATTTTCTACATTAGCTATGAAGTTCATCACAGAGTTTTGTTGAATGATTATTGTTATAGTTGCAGTCAAATCAGTTTGTAGGATTTTGGTAATGAATCATAGAATCATGGAGTTGGAAGAGACCTCGTGGGCCATCCAGTCCAACCCCCTGCCAAGAGGCAGGAAAAGCGCATTCAAAGAAACCCCGACAGATGGCCATCCAGTATAATCTATATAAATAAAAATGTAATGTTTGTTTGTGCTATTCACAGAACTCAGAAACCACTGGGGCAATTGACACCAAATTTGGACACTATGTCCCTAACAACCTAATGTATGTTCTCCACTCAAAAAAACAACGAAAACAAAAAGCAGAAAGGACTTCTAAACTGCATGTCCACAAAGGGGAAACTGCATGTCTACAGAGACCCATGGCTAGGCCCCCCCTCCTCGCGGGGAAACAGCCAGCCTTTAAAGCCAGGCGCACGTGCACGACCACACACACACACACACAAGCGGGTGGAGTGGAGGTGGAGGTGCGCCGCATGCAGCCCCTTCTGTTGGGAAAGCAGCAGCAACAGAGCATCCACGCAAGGAAGAAGGAGGGGGGGCAGGAGGAGGGGAGGAGGGGAGGAAGGTCCACGGTGCTTGAATGAAGGACCTTCCTTCTCTCCCTCCCTTCCCTTCTTTCCTCCCTTTCCTTCCTTCCTTTCTTTCCTTTTCTTCCTTCCTTCTCCTTCCTTTCCTTCTTTCCCTCCTTCCCTTCCTTCCTGTCCCTCCTTCCTTCTTCCTTTCCTTCTTTTCCTCCCTCCCTCCCTCCCTTTCCTCCTTCTTTCCCTTTCTTCATTTCCTTCCCCTTCATTTCCTTCCCTCCTCCTTTCTTCATCCCCCTCCTTTCTTTCCCTCCTTCCTTCCTCCTCCTCCCTCCCTCCCTTCCTGTCCCTCCTTCTTTCTTTTCCTTCCTTCCTGTCCCTCCTTCCTTCTTCCTTTCCTTCTTTCTAAGATATAAATACAATATTAAATGGAAGGGACAGTCAAGAAGTAATGAGAGAAGGAGGGAAAAAGGGAAGGAAGGAAGGAGAGAAGCAGGGAGGGAAAGAAGGAAAGAAAGATAGGAAGCAAGGAAGGAGAGAAGGAAATAAAAGTGAAAGGAAAGAGGGAAGGAAGAGAGAAGGAAAAGATAGGGAAGGAAGGAAGGATGTAACCAAAGAGCAAAGAAAGGGAGGAAAGAAACAGGTAGAGATGGAAGAAAGATGAGAGATAGGGAAAGAAAAAGAAGAAAGGAAGGAAAGAGGGAAGGAAGGAGAGAAAGAGGGAGGGAAGGTTGGCCACAACAACGCGTGGCGGGTACAGCTAGTGGAACAATATAATTTTAGTTGAATTTCTGGTGGTGTTTTAGAGATATTGAACAATGTTTCATCCACCTGAAAGCTTCTTTGTGACTTGATGTCTCCCTCTTTAAATAATATGAATTCTTAGCTTTTGTCCTGTTCATCATTTAGCCCTCTCTCTCCATCAGACCTTCCCATTCCTGCACCTTCTTCTTACCTAGGCTTCACCTGCCATTATACACACAATGTCCCATGATCTCTCAACTAGTTTGCATAATATATGTCTTTTCCCTTCTCCATCTCTGCTGGCCCCTTGATTTGAATATGGTTTTGTTTATTTTATTATGTTCATAGCTCTGTACCTAGTTCAACAAACAGAGAAACAGCACACATCAAAAGTTAGTAGGCCTTCCAGCTAGTGCTGTCAGCCAGTGCCTTTTGACAGTTACCTGTTCAGACAGCAAGGATTTTTTAAAGCCTTCGAGAATAGAAAGGGAAGTTACAGCTGAAACACATGCACTTTTAATAAATAGAGCAAGCTGGTGCTTTATTTTCCTTAAAGATGGTGGTAAGACATTTTACTTTTGTAACTAAAGAAAAAGTATAGAAAAATGCATTTCTTCATTTAGGACAGCTAAAACTGAGAGCTAGGATGATGTAGTGGTTTGAGCATTCAATTGTGATTGTGGACACAAGAGTTTTGAATCCCTGCTTTGCTATGGAAACTCACTGGGTGACTTTCTGCAAGTCACATTGTCTTAGCCTCCGAGGGGAAAGCAAAGGCCTCTGAACATAGGAAACCCTGTGGTAGGTTTGCCTTAAAATTTCTGTAAGCAGGAAATTACTTGAAGGCACACAAAAACAACAAAATTGTTAATTTAAAATAATAAAGGCCGTGTCTCAAATGTGGGATCTGAAAGTGGAGGAAAGGCAAAGCGAATCAGTCAAGGAAAGCTAGGAGCGAATAGCTGTCAAAACAGAACAGTAGAAAGAGCTGTTTATTTCAGAAAAGAGAAGGCTTGACAATTAGCAATACTTTCCAATTGAAAGAGCCTTTTTCTCTTTCTGCTTCAATCCCAAGATGCAGAGTGATGGTCTGCTTCTTGAATATACATGCCAGTATAAACTATAGAAAACTGAGAAATAATACTACTTGCTGTACAAGTTTTCTGCTATCCATGGGTTTGAAAAACAAGACTTTTAATGTTCTTTCAGGACGGGCTTTCTCAATGACACACAGTACAGTGAAATCTCCTGTTTCCAACGGCACGTTTAATTTTGATGGCCATATGAAGAGTGACATTCACGTCTATCACACTGTGCACAAAGATTCGGGATTATACAAAGACTTACTGCACAAAATACACCTAGACAGAGGTAATGACGACAGACCTCTGCAAGAAAATAACTATAAGTTACTGCGCCGCAACAACAGTTACACCTGCTACACAGCTGCCATTTGTGGGATGCCAGTTCATTCATCCTTCAAGGCTGTTGATGCATCGACTACAGAAGATAGTGAAAAGCTAGTGACAGACACAGTTTCTTATTCCAAAAAGAGAGTTCGGTACGACAGCTACTCCAGCTACTGTAATGCTGTTGCTGAAGCAGAAATTGAAGCAGAGGAAGGTGGTGTGGAGATGAAATTGGCCTCTGATTTAGTAGATCCCAACCATCCCCCAGAGGACCTTCCAGAAGAAGAGAGAGATGAAAGAGACTCCTCACAAGTCCACCTGCTCTTTCACTTTCTCCAGATCCTTACAGCTTGTTTTGGATCTTTTGCTCATGGTGGCAATGATGTTAGGTAAGTAAGAGGTATTTATTTGTGTGAGTATTTATAATAGCAACATAAGGATCCTATAATTTCTTTGCATCTTTTGACTGAATTGCTAGAGTCTGCTGCAAAATTCACATTTTAATCTGAATTGTTCTTGTTCTGTATCAGGTTTTCCTGTCTACATTACTTATTGTTTACTTACTTATCTGAGAAACAAATGCAATTATAAAATCAAAATTTCCAGATTGAGAACTTGAAGTCTGTTTTTATCAGAAACTAATTTAGTCAATGCCTTTTAGATGATTCCTTTTTTCCTCTTGCAGCTCTACTATTTGTATCCAGATCAAATTTTGTGGGGTTTTTTGTTGACCAAATGTTCCCAGAGAGATTATCAATATGCTAATGAGAAGGAAGGTTAATTTGTTACTTGCATAAGATGTTTTGATTTAATTGATTCACAGAATTTATGTATGTATGTGATAAATTAACTATTTGCCTTTGAAAATAACTTGGCAGGTTTAGATACATTTGACTAGGAATTGAACAGATTTTTTTTAGACTGAAGATTAATAAAACCAACGAGATAATGGTTAGTAATGAGCCAAATTACTTTTCCTGACTAAATTTGATCATATTGATGTCTCATTGCTTTCAGTACATTGATGTAGTGAAATTGATTCACCACAAGTTTCGCATCTGTTAGGATTCACTAACATTTCAGCAGTGTTATTTAAATAAATATGAACATGTTTCCTATCTATCTATATATGGATATATAGATATATGGGGATATATATATATATATATATATATATATATATATATATATATATGCATTTAATGAAATAATAGTAAAATATTGCTATTAGTTACTTGATTATTTATTTATTGTGTCAAGCAACCGAACAGTTGTATWACATTTTTGACAGAAACAAACAAACAAACATACAAAAGACACAGAGTTTGCAAGCTTGGTAGTTGATTAAATGTCCTTTGACCAGTTGGAGTGCTTCTGGTATTGCCGCAAGAAGGTCCTCTATTGTGCACGTGGCAGGGCTCAGGTTGCATTGCAGCAGGTGGTCTGTAGTTTGCTCTTCTCCACACTCGCATGTCGTGGATTCCACTATGTAGCCCCATTTCTTAAGGTTGGCTCTGCATCTTGTGGTGCCAGAGCGCAGTCTGTTCAGCGCCTTCCAGAGCGCAGTCTGTTCAGCGCCTTCCAAGTCACCCCGTCTTCTGTGTGCCCAGGAGGGATTCTCTCATTGGGTATCAGATTCTGGGTTTGAGCCTGCCATTTTTGGACTCTCGCTTGCTGGGGTGTTCCAGCAAGTGTCTCTGTAAATCTTAAGAAACGATTTCTCGATTTAAGTCGTTGACGTGCTGGCTGATACCCAAACAAGGGATGAGCTGGAGATGTCACTGCCTTGGTCCTTTCACTATTGGCTGCTACTTCCCGGCGGATGTCAGGTGGTGCTAAGCAGTGTAATTTCTCCAGTGGTGTAGGGCGCAGACACCCCGTGATAATGCGGCATGTCTCATTAAGAGCCACATCCACTGTTTTAGTGTGGTGAGATGTGTTCCACACTGGGCATGCATACTCAGCAGCAGAGTAGCATAGCGCAAGGGCAGATGTCTTCGCTGTGTCTGGTTGTGATCCCCAGGTTGTGCCAGTCAGCTTTCGTATGATATTGTTTCTAGCACCCACATTTTGCTTGATATTCAGGCAGTGCTTCTTGTAGGTCAGAGCACGGTCCAGAGTGACTCCCAGGTATTTGGGTGTGCTGCAATGCTCCAGTGGGATTCCTTCCCAGGTGATCCTCAGAGCTCGGGATGCTTGTCTGTTCTTGAGATGAAAAGCACATGTCTGTGTTTTAGAGGGATCAGCTGGTTTTCCCTGTAATAGGCAGTAAGAGCACCTAGAGCTTCGGAGAGCTTCTGTTCAACCATCTCAAAGCTCCCTGCTTGAGCAGTAATGGCACGATCATCAGCATAGATGAAGCTCTCTGTCCCTTCTGGCAGTGGCTGGTCATTTGTGTAGATGTTGAACATGGAAGGAGCGAGCATGCTTCCCTGAGGCAGGCCGTTCTTCTGTTTCCGCCATCTGCTTCTCTGGCCCTGGAACTCAACAAAAAAGCTCTTGTTACTTGATGCTAAGAAGTAAAGAAGTACCATACATCATTGTATCAGTAATTACACATGTAGAAAAGCATTAAAATAATAAGATAAAATACTACTACTGACCAAGAGATATATTGGTATATTGGCATAACATTGTCACCAGAAAGGAAGACCATCTGAATCTAGAAACAGTTGTTATCAGTGTCTTAAAATGGCAAATAGTTCAATAACCCAATCTAAACAAAAGCCTCAGGGATGTGGAAAATAACTAGAACACTGACTGACACCAATATTGGATGCCTGATGTAACACCTATTGTATTTATTCTTGTTCCTATCCTATTGCAGTAAACTTTATATGCTGTAAGTGCTTTATACTTAAAGTAACCCTTTTGTATCTGTGTCTGCAATATACTGTTAGTTTTCACTGAAAGATAGGGAAAAAGTCTCTTATAGAGCTAATTTGGCTGCTTCTCCATTTAAGGGATTAAAAATGTTTGGTGAGGCTTTGGATGGTGTATTGGTGGAAACCAAAGATAAAAAGGGAGGGTTGTCTTCTTTATCAAATAATAGCATAGAAAAGGAAAGGGAAAAAAAGGAAAAAAGAAAGAAAAAGAAACCTTTTTGATCTGGAGCTCAGTCCTTTCATCCCTACAGATCTCACCTCAGGCAAAAGGAGTTCAGATCTTTTAGAACAAATTGAGCCTCCTCCAAGCCACAGTCTAGACAGTGAGTGTCTTTATGTTCACTAAGGGTGGTGCTCCTTCCTCTAACAAACAAGTTAGACGGTCTAACTAGTCATTTTGACTTGGAGCAGCTTCCAGTGGGAGCATGTGTCCAGAACATTGCCCATCACTGGTGAAACATCTCCAGATGCTTGGGTGTGAAGGAATGCCCCTGGATTCCTTTATACAGTTCCACAGTCCTAGGTCTCAGAAGAAGTACCAACAAAGTCTTCAGGACACCAATCACCTTGTCCCAAAACGATCTCCTCAGCAAAGATTTTTGGAGTCCTACTTGGTACTCTTCTTTGTATCAAAGAAAAACAAATACTGGAGGGTTATACCAAATCTTTACAGAATTGTTTCATAGCCAGGTGGGCATTCTCGTATATGAAGACCTTATAGTCAGTTGTTGAAACTGCAAGAGGGGGGTTATCTGGCCTTCTGTGTCCTCCAAGAAGCATACTTGTGCATCTAGAAAAATCCGATGCACAGAGAGTACCTCAAGTTTACTTACCTGGAGGGTCATTAACAGTAGAAGGTGTGCCATTTGGTCTTCTCAGGTTGCACGTGTTGAATCTATTCCTTGCCCAAGTTCCAAGAGATTGCAATGGTTTCATCCTTCTTTTCAGGACAAGAGTGCAATGAGGCAATTTGTGATAATGCAGCTTCCCTCAGCAGTAAAGTTTTCCATGCAATTGTAGCTTTTGGAGATTCTCAAGTTAAAAATGTCCTCCCAATAGCCATGAAGAATCATCACCACAGCCAGTTTGTGTTTTTGCTTCATTCATGCTTTTTTCAAATTATAATCCGGCCCTCCAACAATTTGAGGCACTGTGACCTGGCCCTCTGTTTAAAAAGTTTGAGGACCCCTGATTTAAACAATCTAACCAATGTCCGGAAATATTTTTTCTGAATATTTTGACAACATGCTCCCTACATGACAATAATAACTAATATTTTATTTGAGTATCAACCAATCTTGCTGGGTTTTTTTCTCCCCTTTTTGTTTCCTGTTTTTCAGAAGAATTCCATGTTTTCCTTCCCAGAATAAGGAAGCTCCCAGCAATATGTCCCTAAATGCATTTTATTAGTGATCTAGGATTGTCTGCACACCCTATCCTTCTCCGAAAATTTTATCCTAGTTATATTTCACCTGGTCATGCTCAGCATTATTTTTTAAATTTTAATTATTACATTTGGCCCAGCCATAGGTTTTTAAACGTTGTGTTATTGTTAATGTTTACTGCTTATTTTTATTATGAGTTATATATTGATTTGTATTACTGTTGCTATTGTTTTTATTGTTGTATTGTGGGCTCGGCCTCATGTAAGCCGCACCGAGTCCTTTGGGGAGATGGTAGCGGGGTACAAATAAAGTTATTATTATTATTATTATTATTATTATTATTATTATTATTTTAAAAGCAGGAAGACAAAACCAGGTAAAACATTCACCAAGACTTCAAAAAAATGATAAAAAAGAAAAAGAAAGAAAGAAAGAAAGAAAAGAAAGGGGGGAAAAAAGAAAGAAAAAATCTTGACCTCCTGGTGTCTTCTGAAAATCTTCTGTTAAATCTTAATTGTAAAGTCTCTTTATTTCTTTATTTTTTCCTTCTCTTTCCCTACTTTTCTTGAGTTTCCGTCTTTATTTGTCTATTTCAAATCATCGTCTCTTTTTTCTTTTTTCTTAAATATTCAGTGACTTCTCTCCAGTCTGTTTCTTTTCTTCCGATTTCTTTGTTTTTCAGTAATAGAAAGGTAAGTCTGTCAAGGTTGCTGATATCTAGCATCTTTGTTATCCAGTCATCCTCTTCCGGCGTTTCTGCTTGCCTCCATTTTTTGGCATAACACATTCTTGCAGCTGTTAATGCTAAAAATAATATTTTATCTTTATCTTTTTCCAAATTCTTGTCATACATTCCTAACAGGAACAGTTCCGGTTTCATTGGTATTTTTAATTTTAACATGCTTTGAATTTCTTTTTGTATCTTTTTCCAATAGTCTTTAGCTTTTTCACAGGTCCACCACATGTGGAAAAAAGAACCTTCTTTCTTCTTACACTTCCAGCATGTCGTGCTTGTGTTGTTATATATTTTTCCTAGTTTTTTCGGAGTCAAATACCACCTTTGTGACATTTTGATCCAATTTTCCCTGAGATCAGAGGCATATGTGTATTTTAATCTCT